CAATTAGGCATATTCCTTACTCGCCGGGAATCTCTGTTTATGAGCGGGAGTAATCGGCGAGAAACATGTCCAAGTGTCAAGAGGCTGTGTGTGTTTTAAGTCTGAAATATGAGAGAGCGTAGGCGACTTAAGATTCACATCTAGATACTTGAGAACACCTTATTTAAAGCACATTACAGGAAAGTACTATCTGAGGTCCTTGTAACTTGACAGGTACTATCTTCCCGTATACTGAGGTACTATGATATATGATACCATCAGAAACAGAACCAGGACTTTTTTTGGTGGGGGTATTTGTTTGCTTATGTTTATTTTTGTATTTTTATTTGTTTGCTTGTTTCATTTGTTTGTTTGTTTGTTTGTTTTTAAATAGAAGTAGATAGGCTTTCTTGTGACCCGGTCCATGTTCTTCCCACTTCTCCTGAACAGGAGTAGAGTCTCATACCTTGTTTCCTGTTTAGGAAAGGGTTCTTCGTTCCTTTCCTTTTCTCAGGTCTTAAATGCGGTGCTGTCATGATTTTTTTTTCTGATACGTGAGGATGGTGGAAACGTCTCTTCATACTGAGGCTACCGGGTTGGTAGTTTTTGGTTGCTGTTCCCGACTGGTAGTTAGGAGTCCGAACTCTTGCGTAGACTGCTCTCATCAACAGGTACATACTATCGGGTTTCTTGCAGTGCCATGTCGCGCATGGAAGGGTGTCCCTGCAAGTATCTCCGGATAGTTAGCGTTATTGTCGGATGAAATTTATAAAAACTTTATCTTGAAACAATTTTTCAAGAAAATAGATGTCTCAAGTTCACTGTTATCACTCTTTTTAGTATTGATGAAAGTTTCCTTCCTAACCTTTTGATTATGGTAATGGAGAAGGTCGACATCTTGATTATGTCATTATTTTCTCTTCGAATTGTTTGTTGCAGCTGTTGGAAAATTTCAAGTGATGTGGTGTTTGTTATTTGGTAAAATTCTTTCTGATTCTGTAGTGCCATTCTTTGAGATCTTGTCAAATATTGTCTTCATTAACACTTGCCTATTAACTTCGCTTGAAGCCACTTTTAATCATATATTTGGGAAACCAGTTGAATATAGCCTATAGTTTATATAAACAATTGGACACATTGCATGGTATCCATATGAGAGTCTAGATCTAACTAGTAAATTTAAAAACATGTCTCGAGTTCTCAGGTTAATCTACATATATATAAAACAGAGGATGTCTGTGTGCCTGTCTGTCTGTGTGATACCTTTTCACTCGAGATCCATCCAACCGATTTTGACCAAACTTGGCACATACGTTGTACAATGTAAGAGATAGGTTCGTAAAAAATCGATATTTTTTAAAAATCAATAATCGATAAAGCAAATCAAAAATCGATAAATTCACCTTTTTTACTCCAAGTTCATTCAAACTCGGTATGTAGGTTACTTACATCACGACCAGCTTGACGATACCTCATTTTTATTTCTACACGACTGCGTTTAGCAAAAAACCGCGAAAAACCAAAAATCGATTTAAACACAAATCGAATTCAACACAAATTTTAAGCAAAGAACTCCCTCAATTTTCAAGCAATCTAATACAAACTTCATTAAATTGTAACCAACAATAAGTTGATGGTTTAACAGTCATTTAACTTGATAACTGAATCCACCTATATAGTTACAACCCGTGTAAATAGCAAAAAATGCCGATTTTTACTGGTTTCTTATTTTTCTTTGATCGTTCAACAAATTTTCATCAGACTTAATATTGCTTTATAAATGGATCCTCTTTTACATCTCTGGCAGCACCCTGACAAATTGAATTTCAAAAACGACAAAATAATTGTGGTCTGAAGTGGATCTTCATGTTGCCTGTTTTACCCCTTCATGTCTTCGGGTAACTTCGATTGAATAAATACAGACTACTTTTGTTATATAAGTAACTGCATTAATTCAAAACGTTATTTAATGGAAGTACTTTAAAGTAATTGAAGAAGAGAGACTCTGTTACATCTAAACATGATGCTGTTTTTGCTCCATTCTAATTGAAGGCTTTTTTCTGATCGACCAGCTGGGTATGGCTGCTACTTAGTAATAAAATGACAAATTATAAGGAGTAAAGTAGACGACTTTCTCGTTACCAGACACGGTGGACAACCCCGAGGCCACACTATGTTGTAGTCTTTGCCAGTTCCCTTCCTGCATATTTTACATTAGACGACCGACTGCTACTACTACCCTAGGCCTTTCCTTGCCAAGACAAAAACAAACCAAGTTCTCCACTGCCTTAACCGGGTATTGAACTCACCCTCTTTGGGTCCTGTTACTGGATCTAACCAATCCACTGTGCCATGTCTCCTTGAGTGGAGAACTTGAAGAGGGGGATTAACAGGGGATTAAACATGGCACGTGGAACTAGAACAGTCTACCCCAGTGAGTGAAATAAAGGGTTCAGTTCGACATTCCAACCACCTGAAGAAAGCCGGAGCGTACAACGACCGAAACGTTGTAATAAATATGACGACAAAGATGAGGACAATAGTCCGAATAATGTAAATAGTGATTATCACCTTCCCCAACCCCGCATATGACACTTCTCTTAAAATAGCTTAAATCTAAAACTGCATTCAATCAATGTGAAAGAGTTTCAAGTTGGTGTGTGCATGAGCAAGGAACTCCTTTATTAATATTTCAAAGATGATTAAATAATATACATGGACCTGTTGTCATATGAAAAAAAGAAAATGCATTATACAAATACAACTTTGAAAAAACAGTAACTATTTTCCTTTATAATTTTAGTTCAAATGTTAAGCTCAGTTCTAAGATAATAAGTGCTTTGTAGGTGACACTCATTAACAATAACTCTGTAAAAAAAATATGTTTAAATGATTTCTCAGCTGCAATGTGTGCTGCAAAATAGCAAGAACATTAAAGTCTAATAACTGCAAGCAGGAACAGCTGAAAATATAGCATAGAGGTGGCACAAGGCCATTATTATGGAGCACCCACTGAGGATCGAACTCTCTGCTCTCTCGTAATTGATCTAGCACAAGCTTGCTAAACATTACACCACGTCGAAAGGTTTCTTGCTTAGCTTATATAGACATATATGATTAAAAGCAACAGACATTTTGTGTCGACTGTATTTATTGATCGTTTTCTCCAAAGGGCAAATAATCGTTCGGAAGTGTGTTTGCGATGTGTTTACGTGAACAAATAAGCCAAACTTCATGCAGCATTAACCAAGCATTCCATCAACATTAGTCATCAACTCGGTTATGCGTAATAAGAAATTTAATGGATTTTAAGGTGTGGCTGTGTCCTTCTTTAATTTTGTTTATTTTATTTATTGAATAAAATATTACATGACGTAGAAAATCATGTGATATAAACAAAGCACAAGGTAATTGGAATAATTAATATGTATTGGGTTATCCACAAATATTTTTCAGCATTTAGTTCCTTATATGCTGTTAAGAAAGTTTAGTTTTAACTAACATTATTCAAATCGCTCACGTTCAACTTTTTTGTGATATCTATCAAATCATTTTTGATCATTGTAAAATCATTTTCACACACATTTCATGCTTTAATTATTCTTTCTAATATTAGTGTTATGGTCCGATTCCTTGTATCACGGTGATAATCCAATGTAGAACCAATAAAGAAGAACTCGAACACGTATATGGAATAACACAGATATATTACAAACAGGAATATATACAGAGAGGTAGAAAGTGTTAGTACGAACAATCAGGTTTAGTAGCAATTGTCTGAACGCGACTCTGTTTCGGACTGCCTCTGACTCGACTGACTGAATCGCTCGCTCTGACTGACAGACAGACAGACTCCTGACGGACTTCACTCCAGACTTCAGGCTGAACAGTATTTAGTCACCCCCCCCCCACGAGGACATCATGTGGCACAAGGCCGGTTTAACGTGGGATCTCCGAGCCGGTGGGCTCGGCCAAAAATATGCCATTTGAACCTCCCCGAAAGAGACTCCGCCCTTCGGCGTAGCCTCGTTCGGGTTCCTCCCCGCCCGAAGGCAGAGAGTTCAACCGATCAGCCGGTCGCCCGACTTCAGGCTGAACGGTATTTAGTCACCCCCACCCACCACGAAGAAAATCATTTGCATCATTTTCGTTATGTTAGTCGCTTTGATGTGTGGCCTGTTATAAACATAATGAAAATGCTCAGTTTTTCAAACATAGTACTTACAGGTAATAAAAAATGGATAATTTAAAATAGAGTGGAACACAAGAGATCGTGAGGTGAACGAAATGAAGATTCTTTTCTTTGATGTTTTTGTAGCTTGTTTTCTTTAACTTATCTCCGCTCATATAAATTCGATGTCGAATTATAGCTGCATCACTTTTATAATACTGGTCCTTAGCCACACCACTGATTTCTCAAAAACAAATGCTTGAGTTGCATTTTTAACTGTCTTAATATTTGTTGTAACCTAGGGAACGTTACTGAATGATCGCACGAAAGTTTGTAATGAACGATAATACTTAGGACACGAACAACACATATAAGATTCGTCAGCGGCGCGTAGAAGTAGTAGTCAAGTGAATTCCGCAATGAATCTCTAACTGCTAGATATCTACCAACCGCCGCACGCGGTCAGATGTGGCACAAGGCCGAATTTAATGTGGGCTATCTGTGTCCGGTTTTTTGTAAGCTCTGTTTCTTTTAAGTTATCCCCCCCCTCGCTTTCACAAATTAGATGTTGAACTATAGCTGCATGACCTTCATAATCCTGGCTCTAAGCCACACCATTGAAATACTTCCAGTTTTTACCCTGCTGAGACGGTGGCTGATACCATAAAATTGGCGCAAGAATGTAATTTACTTAACGCCCTGTACAATTTTGCCTGAGAAATAAGAAAGGGGCAAAAGAGATGGCTTCGCCAGGAACCGGCAGCCGTATATGTTATATACAATTAACTGACAAGGCCTACAAGAAACAGTTTTAAAAAGGATTCAGTTAATCTAAGGTTATTACGAAATAATGCATTTTGAGCCACAGTTAATTTTATTTTCGTCCTCCTTGCATTCTTTTATTTGCAACTCTCACATTTTACGTTGGCGCCATTATACTTGTGCAATCCCCGAGCTACAAACCGTGCGGATGCTATGTGGCAAAGATGCAACTCAAAATCAGAGCAATATATGGACCAACGTATCGTGATATGATGGATGATTCATCTGCAAAGTTAATCTGGAATGAAAGAATAAAAAACTACAAATTTTAGTTCGGTTAGAATTTCTGGGATGTGGAGTTATCATTATTTACACCATTTGCATACAGACTATTGTCCTCATCATTGTTTTTATTATCATAGCGTTTCAGCTGTTGCGCCCCCAGCCTTCATCAGGTGTAACTGACTGGATGTAAAATACACTTTACGAACACTACAAGAATCCGCCTTATTGCATGCGACTATTCTAATCTTTTTTGTTGCTATAATAACGTTTCGATCGCTGCTGCCTTCATCAGGTGTATATCGATCCGGATAATCTATAAGGAATTCTAAAATGAACACTTTAATCTACGAGGGTGGACTATTCTCTAGCCTTTTGTCCCGTGGATTAAATAATTGGTTCTTAACTTTGGTGATATAGTAATTGTAAGTTCAATCCCTAGGCCGGTCAGTGTGTACTTGGGCTAAGTGGAAACAGGGCAAACCACAACTGAGCAGTAATAAACATAAGAATTAGCCAGGATATCCCTAGACATTGGCCAGATTTGCATATTCGACATATCCTCTAGGTGGTCACGGGCTAGGGAGAAACATGTGTCAAGAGGGTTTTGTCAAGAGGGTTGTGTGTGTTTTTTGTTTGAAATATGAGACATCCTAGGCGATTTGAAATTCCCACCTAGATACTTGGTAACATCTTAAACTGGGTAACCGACCTAAAAGTATTTAAAACTGGGCCCCACCTGCAAGGTTATGTGTCGCTTTTATCAAAAACTATCCCCATATCGCGTGTATTTAGCTGTGCTCTATGTGTTTGGCGTACACTTATGAGACTGGGTCGCAGCCGGTAATAAAAATCACAGGAAAAAAAACGTCACAGAAAAAAAAAACGTCACAGGAAAAAAAGTCAGAGAAAAAAGTCACAATTTTGCTTTTAAAAAAAGCCACATGAAATAAAAGTCACATCTTGGTTTTGCGGGTGGTATGTTTGGTATACAAGAACCCATTTAGCAGATTTTGGAACAACGCTTCTTACTGTCAATAATTTCCATGGAAGGAGAGGTCACAATTATTTTTCATTAAATCCAAGCATTGTTGATCCACAACAGCACTGAAATCTAAGATTTCTACTATTCACGCTGTCTTTAGGGTTAGTGTTGGGTTTAGGGATACATAATACGCATATTGTGCTTCGTCACTTTGTTTGGGTCTCTTCTCTTACTCAATAATAATAATAATAATGTTTTTTGACAAAATGATATTATTTTTGAGTAAGGCTAGATAGAAATGACTGCCTGAAGTAAAATCATCGCCTACGAGAGTGAATATTGTGGGAAAAATCCATCTACGGAGGTGGCGGGAGTTTAATTTCGCATGCAAAACGCTGGTCGATTTTCTCACCCATTGTTTTTATCTATTTTTTTGACCGATTCTTTTAACCCATTCTTTGACCCATTGTTTTGAGCCATCTTTCTGTCCCGTCAAAATACAGGAGCTGGGTTTTTTAACGCATTATTTTGTTTCCTTCTTTAAATGTCCTCTGCGCAACTATGCCTATGCTTTATCTAGAACTGATATTATTTGTTTCTTGATTTCTTTTTTTTTTTTCTTTTTGGGCGTTTCTTTCTTTATTTATTTTATTTATTTTCGAGCGCCCAATTTTACGCTTCCTCAAGTTTTTCTCTTCAAACATTTCTTTGAGGAGTTGTTTTTCCTCACGTTTATGGCTTGAGGGTTTTCTTTTCGATCTTCCGCCGGCTTTGATGCTTTTGTCGTGGATGTGCGGATGGTGCAATGAATAATGGCTGGGAATGAGAATTCGAGTTCGAATTCCAGTCGGATTCGTTACATACATTTACAAGCAAATATACTTGGAAAAAGGTGCGGGTTAAATAGTAGGTCTTGTACCTGGAAAAATAAAATAAAAATTAATGCAATATTCACTCGCAAAGTCTCGCCATGCTACGTCCCCCGCGTCCTATCACTCTCAAAACCCCACCAACCCGTATTCCATTCAAACAGCTTTTTCCTCGCCCCATTTTGGAGAGAAGACTCCTGCGGAGATACTTTCTTGATATCTTCAATCTTAACCTCTTCAAGGATTTTTATCTATCCTTATCCTCATCAGTCGTTCAGTTTTGTGCGTGATACACGCTTAGGCGATCATGTATCTTTCGATTTTTTTTTCCTACAGTAGGTTGCCATTTCTTTCTGCGATAGATCAGATGCCATCCAAGGCTATAGAACCCTGTTTGTCCTGCTATTTACCCATAGCTGGAGTGGGGGAGAAAAGGATCCATACCTTTCCCAAGAGTATTATTAGCACGTAAGTGAATGTAATGGATTTGACTGGAATTCGAATTTTGCTCTCCGATTCCTTCTCTTATATTCCTATCATATACCTCATTCAGAAACCCTCTACCTTGAGTGGATCTTGAGCCTTGTATTGAGTAAACAGTAAGCAGTTTTTTGTTTTATATTCCAAGTTTTTTTTCTGGATTCTTTGCCGGTTTCACGATGGTTATTGCTCGGTTATTTATTCTTTTGACACGTTTCTACTGTTGAGTATAGTTTCCAGTAATGCTTTTCTGGAGATGCCATTTAATTTAGGGTCTTAATATTTCCAAATCTTTTTAATTTCCTTTTTAATTTCAATATTAGTCTTCTGCTATTTGCAACTTTGTGGCATATTCATTTTCTCTCCGCTTGATCACTCCTATCTCATTCTCTTAGACAGATTCTGGTCTTTCTCTAGATTATTCGTTTACATTGGCGAACCTTATTCGCTTGCACAATTCTCGATGATGTACTTTTCCTAACAAATTATGTTTTATCATAAATCGATATTTTTTTTTACTTATTTGATTGTCCCTTTCGTTCTTTTCTAATAGATTTTCGTTTCTTTCTTTTCTTGATTTTATTTGAGGTTTCCTTCCTTCCTTCCTTCCTTCCTTCCTTCCTTCCTTCCTTCCTTCACTTCTTCGTAATTGACTTACTTCTTCCTTTTTTTTCTATCCGATCATTCTTTCTTGGCTTTCTTTGTTTTTCTCTTTGAAGGTTTCTTTCTTTTTTCTTTCTTTCTTTCTTTCTTTCTTTCTTTTTTCTCTCTTTCTTTCATTTCGTGCGTTCTTTTTACTTTTCCTCAAGTTTTTCGGTTTAAATAATTCTTTCTTACTTTTTTCTTTATTTCTCCTTTTTCTTTCTTTTTCTTTTCGCTTTAAATATTTCTTTTTTCTTTCTTTTTTTCTCGTATTTTTCTTTCTTTCATTTCGTATTTTTTTTACTCTTTCTCAATATTCACTTTAAATATTTCTTTTTTTTTCTTTTTCTTTCTTTCATTCATTTGGTTTGTTTCTTTTTTACTCTTCCTCAAATTTTTTCGCTTTAAATATTTCTTTCTTTCTTTCTTTCTTTCTTTCTTTCTTTCTTTCTTTCTTTCTTTTCTTTTCCTGCGTTCTTTTTCTTACACTTTCTCTAGTTTTTTCGCTTTAAATATTTTTTCTTTGTTTTTCTTTCGTTTTTCTTTTTATTTATATCTTTTTTCTTTCTTCCATTTCGTGTGTTCATTTTTTACTCTTCCTCAAGTTTTATCACCTTACATATTTCATTTTCTTTTTCTTTCTTTCTTTCTTTCTTTCTTTCATTTTATGCGTTTTCTTACTCTTCCTCAATTTTTTCACTTTAAATATTTCTTTCTTTTTTTCTTTCTTTTTTCTTTCTTTCTTTTTCTTTCTTTTTTCTTTCTTTCTTTTTCTTTCTTTTTCTTTCTTTTCTTTCTTTCTTTTTCTTTCTTTTTTCTTTCTTTCTTTTTCTTTCTTTTTCTTTCTTTTTTCTTTCTTTTTCTTTCTATCTTTTTCTTTCTTTCTTTTCCTTCGTTTTTCTTTCTTTCTTTCAGTTCGTGCGTTATTTTTTTTTTTACTCTTGCTCAATTTTGGATCGCTTTAAATATTTCTTTCTTTCTTATCGACCTTTCATTTTTATTAACACAGATTTTTCTCTCTTTTTTTTTTCTTTATTTGTTCCTTTGCTTCTATCTTTATTCAGTTATTTAATTTCCTGAATGTTTTCTTTTCTTATCACGTGTTCTTTCTTTCTTTCTTTCTTTCTTTCTTTCTTTCTGTTTTCACAGTTTATTTGTCTATTTGTCCTTTTTTTATCTTCTTACTAATGCCCCGAAGATGTGTTTTGTTACTCAATATTGAACAACGGTTAAATGTTTTTTTCTTTCTTCATATCCGATTTTGACGACTGAAAAAAACAACACGCGTTTATGCTTGTCTTTCTTCGTATTTTCAGTTGCTGCTGTCACTTGTGTGTGTTTTGTTAGGTTTTCGCGTGATATGACTGCAAGTCAGATTGCGCTGATAATTCATATCGAATAAGTGTCGATCTTCTTTTCATTACAGCTTCAAAATAAGCACCAGATGCATTCACCCCCCCCCACACACACACACATATATATATATATATATATATATATATATATTTTGGTGAATACAGACAAGGTGCTTTTATTTAGTTTTTTTTTATACAATTTCTCATGTGATCTAGTAATTTTTTTCTTTTCAGATGATAAATTATTTAAAAACTATCCGAATGATATTTTTATCCGAGCGCTTTCGGCTATACATTTAGCCATTTTCAAGGATTAAATATTTTAACTGTTAAATAAGAAATAGTTTGTTGCATGTAAGTATTTATATAATGTTTCCATTTTTCAAAACACGGTCAAGATATTGTGTCCATGTTCATAGTTGATATTATTAAGTGTTGTTTTTTTTGTTTGTTTGTTTTTTGTTTTTTAGCCCTTTTTTTCATGTAGAAGATGCTATTATATTTGTGTTGTCAACAAGTATGTTACGAATAGTGTCCAGTAGGTCTCCATGAATATTTAAATGAGATCTAATTGAGCTATGGTCAGAAAGGTGTAGAGTGAGTCTGCGTGTCAAACATGTTTTAGTGTGGCCTATATAATTATTTACGAATTTTGATTGATCAGGAATACAATTGGATTCCAAGATTCGCTTGAAAATGGAACAGGACTAGGGACTTTAATTTAATTTTATAATTGCATTTGATGTTTATAGTTTCTGTTTCTGAAACATGGTAATTTCTATGTAGCGATGGAACCATATGTTTAAATTAGTAAATTTATAATATGCTCTGTAGATTTGCATTGAACACTGTTTTGTAAAAATAAAAATTATTAATAAGAACACCGAATTATATATCTTAGTGTTTTTTTTTTATAATAATAATAATAATAATAATAATATATATATATATATATATATATATATATATATATATATATATATATATAAAAAGTATCGTACATTGAGTAGTGATAATAAAACAGTACTCGTATGTATAATAGCAAAACTAAAATTAATACTACTAATAAATATCCGTTTTGTTCCTCGCCGGCAGCACATCTTATGCACGATGCAATTGTCAGGTTCTGATTTACAATTGACCGTTGTAAAATTTAAATATTGATATTTTTATACCGTGCTATTATGATAATAGAACAGTCCATTTATTTACGGAAAAAGAAAACAATAACTACACTTACATCCATCCATATAAATATTTACCCGTTCACCCCACTGAGACGGGATATGACACAAGGTCGGGTTTAATGTGGGGCACCCGAGCACGTACACCCGGGCCCGGGTCCAAAATTGTACATAGTATGCAGTTGGCTGGGTTTCATATTCTTTGAATATTTTAAGCCTAAGCTTAACGTCTGTTTCAATGAAATATACGTTAAACACTTCTTTTTTCACCGTCCTTATTTCTTCCATCTTTCTTTTTTCTAATTCTTTCTTTTCTTTCTTTCCTTCATTGTTTCTTTTCTTTCTTTCCTTCTTTTCTTTTTCTTTCCTTCTTCTTTGCTTTCTTACTTCATTTTCTCACTGAAACCAAGTAACGTCACTAATATGTCATCTTTCTTTTCTTTATTCCCCAAAATACAATATACACTAACATAGATTCTTATTGTTGTAACCTAGGGAAGGTTACTGAATAGAATACCCAAACTAAGGTTGGTAATGAACGATAATACTTAGAACAAGAACAACACATATAAGATTCGCCAGCGGTCCGTAGAAGAAGTAGTCAACTGCTAGAATTGAGTTAAGTGAATTCCACAATGAATATCCAACTCTAGGATATCTACCAAACGCCACACGCGGTCAAATGTGGCATTAGGCCGAATTTAATGTTGGTTATCCAAGCCCGTAGGCTTGGTTAAAAATTCCCCGTATAAACCGGGTTCGGGTAGCTGTTCCCGAGATGAGACTGCCCTTGACAAAGCCTCGTTTGGGATCCTCTCTGCCCGTAGACAGAGAGTTTGACCAGCACAGCTGGAGACGAATCTTCAACTGCAGGATATCTACCAACCGCCCCACGCGGTTTGATGTGGCACAAGGCCGAAGTTAATGTGGGTAACCAAGCCTATAGGTTTGGCTAGAAAATCCCCGTAGACCCCCGTATAAAACGGGGTCGGGTCGCTATTTCCCGAGACGAGACTCTGCCCTTAGACATAACCTCGTCTGGGGATCCTCTCTGCGAGGAGGCAGAGAGTTTGTCCCGAACAGCTGGAGACAGACCAACATACAGTATTTACTACTGTATTTATGTGAATGGGGACATACCCATTATCGTCCGTAGGTATGCTACAACACTTATATATATATAATTTAAATAAAATTTAAATAATTTGTGAATGATATTTATGTGTATATGTGTATTATATCTGAAAATATACATTAGATGTGAATATTTGTATTTAAATTATAGTTTTACTCGAAATACCCAAGAAGATTTTACTGTTTTATCATTCGAGTTTTCTGATGACGCATAATTCTTAAGTTAATGATTGAAGAAACTCATGACGTGTTCTATGTCAATCAAATATCGATAGAAATTCCCCTATCGCATTGTTAAATATTTGCACATAACAACTTTACCAAAATATTGCATAAGAAATCATAAATATGAATTCTGGTCGTTATTTTAAGAAGTAAGAGGATACAAATGAAAATATTTGAAATTAACAAGTTTCTCCATTTCATTGAAACAGACGTTAAACACTTCTTTTGTTTCCCGTCTTTCTTTCTTCCCATCTTTCTTTGTTCAATTATTTCTTTCCTTTTTTTCTTTTTTCTTTCCTTCTTCTTTTGCTTTCTTTCTTAATTCAATTTCTCACTGAAACCAAGTAACGTCAATAATATATCATTTTTCTTTTCTTTCTTTCCTTCTTTTCTTCTTTCTTTCCTTCTTTTCTTTCTTTTCTTCTTTCTTTCCTTCTTTTCTTTCTTTTCTTTTTCCTTTCGTTTTACGTACCTTCTTCCTTTGCTTTCTTTCTTAATTCATTTTCTCACTCAAACCAAGTAACATCATCTTTTGTTCCTTTCCTATTTTTCTTTTTTTTTTCCTTTTCTTTCCTTTTTTTTCTTCCTATTCTCTTGCTTTCATTCTTACTTCATTTTCTCACTGAAACCAAATAATGTCACTAATGTTTTTCCATCTTTCCACACAACCAAAGCGGATTAGTCGATTATTTATGAGTTATTGGCAGGGCGTAGCGTACGAACGTGCTTACTTAGGAACTAAGGAACAAACAGGCAGAATTATAAGATGTTTGTATCTACATCTATGTAAGCGTATCTAGCGTTTTTGTATTTTTTTTTTCGCTAATAAACGAACTGGTCCATTATCGTAACAGTACTGTATACATGTCTATTTTTAATTTTTACAAATTCTGAAGTTTTCAATCAGCACCTGACGTTTGCATCGTGCATGAAACGCAGAGTTGTGTTAACGTTGAGGAACAATATATATATATATATATATATATATATATATATATATATAAGTAATGAAAATCTTGGTAATCCGTATGTATAATCCCAAGGAGGATGAAATCCGGAGAGCTCAATGTTAAATCAGAGCGATTAATTTAATACTACCCCTCAAAAGTGTAAAAAAATGTTATATGTAAATTTAAATTCATTTTTTATCCTTAGAAGTGAGGTCTGAGGAGCCAGGGAAAAAGAAACTCCCTGGGGAAATAAATTATAACCATGGACCCTTAAAGTTGTCTGTTTTCTTCAAATTATATATATATATATATATATATATATATATATATATATATATATATATGATTTTGTATTTGGGCAATAAAATAAAGACGAACAACATGGTACTGAGATTAAACTTTATATTTAATTTTTCTAATGTTCGTATGAGTGTTTTCTCTTCTGGACATAAATTGTGTAAAAATTGTACAAATGTTCTTTATATTAGATCTTTTAGCCATTATCAAGGATGATATTTATTTCTAACTGAATGTATCGATATTATGCATGTGCCTAGAGTTATAAGATTTTTTTTCAAAACACGGTCAGCACATTGTGGCTCTGTTTATAGTGATGTTATTGAGTGTTGTCTTTTTCTTTTATATTATTGATGCTTCCATTATTTTTAGTCGTTTTTTTTTTTGTTTACATGTGGATAAGGCTATTATCTTTATATTTCCTACAAGTATATTGCGGGTAGAGTTTGGTAGTACGAATAAAAATAATAATAAGAAGAAGAATGATACTTTGCTTTTTCGTTTTTTCATCTCTTTTTTTTATTTTGTCACAGCCATCTTTTTTTCTTTTCTTCTGTCATACTCTTCACACACTTGATTTATCCTTCTTCTTTTTCTTCTTTTATTATTATTATTATTATTGCTTTTTATTTCTTTCTTGTTTTTTCTACCTGTTTTTCTTCTTCGTCTTATTTCAACCATATCTTTTTTTTTAGTCATTCTTATTATTTCTGTTTTGAAAATTTTCTTTACTTCTTTTTTTCTTTTCTTTTTCTTTTCTTCTTTTTTCTTTTCTTCTTTTTCTTCATCCCTTCTTTTATTTCATCACCATCATCTTTTTTTTCTTTCGTCATATTCTTCACATACTTTATTTCTTCTTCTTCTTCTTCTTCTTCTTCTTCTTCTTCTTCTTGTTACTATTATTATTATTATTGTTCTTGTTGTTCTTGTTGCTGATGTTGTTGTTGTTTTCTGTTATTATTGTTGTTATTGTTGTTGCTGTTGTTGTTTCTTTTTCGTCTTATTTCTACTTTATCTTTTTTTCTATGTTTTATTAGGTTTTTATTTTTATTTTTTATTTCTTTCTTTTTCTTTTGTTCATTCTTTGCTTGTTTTTCTTCATTTTTATTTTTCGATTTTGCCATCTGTTCTTTTATTTCATCACCGACATCTTTTTTTCTTTCTTTTGTCATATTTTTCACACTCCTGATTTTTACTCCTAATTATTATTATTATTATTATTATTATTATTGATTCGGCAATTTTATGCTGATCCTTCATTTAATACCTTCTGATTACCAAAGTTCTTCATTTTTGTTTTTTTGTTTTGTTTTTTTTGTTTTTTTTGTTTGTTTTTATTTTATTTTGTTTTTTTTTGCGTCGAATCGTATCTGTCCTGGTAAAAAGCTCAGTTCTGCACCTAAGGTAAATAGATCAAAATGTGTCATTTTCTCACATTTTATTCATAAGTCAGTCACGGATGTACATTTAATTCTACTCTAGTGACATCGACCTTGAGGAGGCAAGACAAAGAGAGACAAAAAATACCTTCATCTTAGAAACAATTCATTCGATTCGGTAATTCTTTTTGTCCTTGTAACGAAGCAAACGTAATTCTCGTCTCTCTCTCTCTCTCTCTTTTTCCCGCCCTCACATTACACTTCATTGAACAGTCGTCTGCCAATGTAATTGCAGTGACGTCGCCAATAATCAGTCGGTGAGTTGTACCTTTACAGCGCTGTACTTTTCAATATCATTATTGCTCTTGATACAGTTGCACCTGGTTGTTGCTAAGTTAAGTTCAACCTAGTAAGTCGCCCGTACTGGTTATCAGTTTCGCCGTCATTGAGGTCGTGGACTGTCTCAACAAAAATGAATGCGACTTAATCCTAATAAAAATCTATGATGAAAAAATTCTCTGCAGCTTGCAACTAAATGCATCTAAGCAACAGTTAAATAGCTGAGCCAATCCTTATATTAAATCGATGTCAAATTTCACGGGTCCATTTTGTGCAGTGCTGAAACTTGACAAGTTTATACAGCTCTTTAGTGCTTTTGCAATCAGTCAACATTGTATTCGATATAAACGTGAAACTAGCTGCTTCCTAAAGTTAGAAATATCGAAAATCCGTAGTGTCGGGTGAGGCAATAAAATTGGGCATGGTTGATCATGAATGCGGGGAAAAGGGTAGTCATCAATCCCCGTGGAATGAAATAAAAATACTAAACAAAGGAGAACACTGGAGATTTTAGACATCTGAAAGAATCAGCGCATATGCTAAGCTATACACCTCCTTAGTAGGTCTAGCATAGAAATAAATACGACATGGGAGCCACTAATAAAGAAAGACAAATGACAGCAAGTCATGAATATCAGCAGCAGCAGGAACGCTTCATTGAGTGCAGTCAAACATGACAAGCAGCAACAGCATTAATGAGCAGGTAGGTTAGGTTTAAGTCTCCAAGTTCTCCACAGATAATTGTCTTACATGATTAAATCGTTGATTCGTGAATTTGGCGACGTAGTGAATTCAATCCCTAGACCGGGCACTGTGTACTTGGACCCAAAGAAAACGAGGCGACCAATAAGTGAGCAATGCTAAAATAAGAACTAGAGAAGATATCCCTAGGCATAGGCAGTGGAATGAGAACAATCTACCACCGTAGATTAAATAATGGGATCAGTTCGGAATTTCCTGATGAAGGCCGGGGGGCAAAATGGCCGAAATGTCATTATCACAGCAACAAAGATGAGGACAAGAGTCCGAATGTAAATAGTGTGAATAATAGTAAAGGCAATGTTTATATGGATTATGGAAATTCTGAAAATGGGACCAACATGAATTTGCCGAAAGGAAACTCGAGAGGATTTTAAACGGTTGCTTCTTCTGCTACTGTATACATAGATGCATGCCGGGAATATCCTCTAACCTAGCTTTGAATAACTGCCTTGAAATTGTCATCATCATCATCATCATCATCATTTGTTCCATGACTGGTGTGCTCTTAGGGTCACTGAGCAGCTAAGCAAGTAGCCGATTTCCTCCCTATATCAGGGTTGAAGGCCTGAGAGATATTCATTGTGAAGGCTGACGTGGAAGAACCCATTCGTCTCCAAGTCAAATCCCAGTCTGTTGCACATTTCCCAGCGTATGTTTCTTAACCAGTCTTGTCTGATTTTATATTCCATTTCTCTACATGGTCAAATCATATCATTTGCACAGTCTCTAGGATATGACTGTTCCTACCCAGTCGCGTGTATTTTTCTATTCCATTTGACAACACGGACATATCAAAATCGTCTGCACAGTTCCAAGTGTAAAACTGCCCCTACCCTGTCGTGTTTGTTTTTATATTCCCCTTGACTAAATGGCCGTATCCAAGTTGTTTGCGCAGTTCCAAGTGTAAGACTGTTCCTACTCGGTTGGGTCTGTTTTTGTCCATTTGACTACATGGCCGTAGCCAAATTGTTTGCCCAGTTCCAAGTGTAAGACTCTTTCTACTCAGTTGTGTGTGTGTTTTTCCATTTGACTACATACCCGTATCAAAGTTGTTTGCACAATTACAAGTGTGAGACTTTTCCTATTCAGTCGTGTTTGTTTTTATATTCCACTTGACTCAATGGCTGTATCCAAGTTGTTTGCGCAGTTCCAAGTGTAAAACTGTTCCTACCCAGTCGTGTCTGTTTCTTATATTCCATTTTAACATTTTCCAGTATATGACTGTTGGTTCATTGATCTGTGCACTTCTCTTGTCGAAGTGTGATATTGTATATCTTATACTTTCCAAGTATTCATGTCTTTTATTAGGTTTACGCTATTTAATTAATTTTCTCGTACTCTTTTAGTAGTGAAAAAATTCAAGATGGCTGTTATTAATAGACTCATGTTTGATTATTCATTAATTTATTTTATTTCCCCTGGAAGCCTTTTCGGTTAACACTTATCCAAGGAATAGTGTACGTAATAAACAGAGAACATTATTTATTTTATTAGTCTCTGAGCCCGTGTGTATCTTGATAGATAGGGTTCACTATTCCCATAAGGGAAAACAAGATAGAGGTGTATACACCAACCAGGGTACGTCGATGGACTTCATATACAGATATCTTTTCCCTGTCTGCTCAGACTGGACTGAGTCGATTGAGCCGCTTCCTAAGTATAATGATGCAACTTACAAGTCACCTGAGTTGCTTCCTCTTTGAAATTAAAAAAAATAAAAATAAAAAAAATAAAATAAAAACAATCCTGTCGTCTCCCTTTCAAGCATCTAAATTGGCTAAGGTCAGGCAACTGGCAAACAAATTTATGGCACTGAACCGGATATTATTTACTGTAGCCAATCTTCCCCAAGAAAGAATATGTATATGTGAATGCTTCCAATCAAATACCATGATAGCTATTATTATTATTTTTATTTCCTTTAATATCTGGCGTTTACACATTTCTTTCCGGGTCTCGCCCAGTGACCTAAGGTTAGAAATGGTATAATGACATTTTCCACTGCAAAAAAAAAAAAAATTACATAGATAAAGCCCTTCGTTAAGTTTGGGTTGTACTTGTCAGAACAATTTTTTGTATCTCGTTGAGGCATGGACTTCCAGGAATTCCTTCCATTAGTCTACTGGAATCTTTCCCAACCAATCCTAGGGCTCTAACTACAAGAGGGATTGTTGATGTGCTCATGCGCCACAATTTTAGATTTTGATTTCAAGGTCCTTGTATTTTGACAGCTTTTTGAATATCTTCAAAGATACATTGCAGTCTGCAGAGACTGTCATATCAATAAGAAGGCACTTTTTTTGTTTGTGGTCTTTAACAACAATGTCGGGGCGGTTGGCTTTGATTGTTCTGTCAGTGTGTATTGTGTAGTCCCATAGAATTGTAACAGGTCTTATCTCCGTAACCGGGTCTGGGTGGTGTTCATACCAGTTTCTTTCAGTTTCCTTCCCGTGGAAGTCGCAAATTTTCCAGTGCAGATATTGGCCCACTATGTCATGCCGGGTTCTATATTTAGTGGGTGTCAATATCGTGCAACCCGATACAAGATTATTATTATTATTATTATTTATGATCAATAAATATCGTTTACGTCCCTACAGACCAGAATACACAGAAATTCTTCTTATCTCCCCAACCAAAGGAAAAAAAAACTAACTTTTTTTTTACGGATCCCACATAGGTTCGTAACTATGGTTTGTGTTTTGCTTTCATTCATTTTACTCTCTCCAAAAATCTAAAATTTACCCCAGAACAAGTTGAATAACAACTTGTGCATTTAAAATTAAAAGAAAGATGTCTACTCTCCTTTTATTTTTGTTCTGAAATAACCTACATTCGCTTAATAAAAACACAAATATTGAATATAAATCATCGACTTCAAATGTGTGTCATCGTTGCAACCGTGTACCTTTTGCGCGAATGTTCTTGACCTTTTAAGGTTATACATTGATTTGGTTGAAATCTGTCTTCTTGACTCCTGTTTCTATGCAAGCGAACCATAACTAATAGTTATACAATGGAAATGTACATATTTTACTTCAGAGAAAAAAACAAGAACGCTTAGAATTAATATTACGATTACTATTACTACTGATAATAATAATAATAAAGGTTTCGCGTCGTATATGGTAAGTCCGGATTCTCCCCGTTAACACCTGTGGCTACTTTCTTTCTCACAGTAATCCTACGATGACTGTTTGAGGTTTTCATTAACAAAGTTACTTTTTAACACTCAAACAATAAAACAAGGTTGGATGATCGTGCACGCCAAACATGTAAGAAAAAGAGAAAATTAATTTTTACGAATAGTTTTCTGCTCATATTCCATTTAATTATATTCAAAATCTATAAAAATGATATTTTAACTTATTGTATATGGTTTATTTTACTTTACGGTATATCAACCTCATTTATGTAATACCGACATGATTTTAGAATTATTTCGTATGACTAGAATATGTATTCTTTGTAAGAAACCAGTTTGTAGATCAGGTTTCATTGATGTTGGTAATCCTTTTTTCTTTTCAAAAATGTATTGCTGTTAATATTTTTTTGTTTTTTTTTTCAAAAATGTATTGCTGGTATTTTTACTATAAAATATACATTCATACTTTCACAGTGTTTTGACCTCAGTAGCTGGGACCCTAACAAGTGTTACCACCTTGGGTCAAGGTGGACCTGGGAACAACAGCAATTAAGAGGTGGTTCC